GCTGGTTTGATACCGGATATCACCTTCTTGTATATCTGGGCGGGGCCTTTGCATTCGCTGTACGGATATTCGGATATGGCCATTTCCAACATGCACATGCCAAAGGCGTAGACATCAACCGATTCATCATAGTGCTCCTCGTACATCTCGGGTGCCATAAATTCAGGTGTACCAATCACAGATTTAGCATGGGACCGATTCTTTAAAGTTGCCAGTCCCAAGTCACCGATTTTCACACTACCAGTGGTGCCAGTTATAAAAATATTATCACATTTCAAATCACGATGAATTATAGGAAATTGACGAGTATGCAGGAAGTTGAGACCTTTTAGGATCTGACGACACCATGACTTCAATACCTTTGGGTGTATTTTTTTGAATCGTTTTAAATACCTTCAAACAAATTCAATCAATAATGTTGTATAGCTTAAGTGATTCATCAGCCCACTTACGACTTTAAAGTACCAGATAACATTAACTCGGTGACTAGTACTATGTTTTTCTTCCGTCCAACTGGAAATTCCCAATATGTATAAAATCGCACAATGTTTGGATGCTGCAATTTCTTTAACATATCCGCTTCTTCCCGGAATCTAGTGCGTTCACTCTTCTTCACTTGTTTATCCTAAAATAAAAGAGGCGTTACTATGGGCGTAAACATATTGATTTATCACAATATCATTGATGAAATTACCAACAATTCGCACCAGGCAACCGGCACTCCGGTTAGAGTGTCCAGGCCGCGATAGACAGTTTTAAAGGAACCACGACCGACTTCTTTATCGTATTTGAAGAAGCGTCCACATGGCGACATCGCAACAGGATCGTCATCCTCATCACTCTTGCGCTCCCTTGTTAGAGATGTGACTGATGAGGTAGCCGATGCGGCGTGTGCTGACGATGGTTGTTGGGAAACCGATGTTTCTGCTCCAGAAACGGTGGTGTCTCCAGAAATGCCCTCTCCTTGTTCCGACTGCTTGGACGAGTCCTCAACCTTTGCTTCATCGTGCAACAACTCGCCATCGCGCTTTTCCTCAACATGGAAGCCTACGCGCTTCCCACCAGCTGTCTGTTTATTGGCAGGTTTCGATGGCACTTCAACTTGAGTCTTTTCGGTTTTCACGCTGCGAGACGCCTCGGTAATAATGTTGTCAATAATGCCAGCCACTTGATGACTACTCGAATCTGTGGTATTTGAGCGGGTAGGCGTACGGAATTGCTCCTCCAAATGCTCCGCCTCCCGCGACAACATCTCAATGTTGTCATCGTAATCACGAGGGAATTCCGTTTCCAGCTCCTCAAACTGCAACGGATTCGCATTTCTGTTGGACTGCTCCACATTTTTACGTACAAAACGTATTGTCTGCACAAAGTTGTCCGCTCCCTTGCCCGATTTATTTCCTTTGCCGTGAGGCGACTTGAAAGGGAGTGGGCCAGTCATCGATTGCGGGCCACTGCCCGTCAGCTGATGTTTCAGCCCCGGCTCTATGCCCGTGTCAGATGACGATTTACGGCCTTCCATCTTTTTCGGCTTGGCATCAGCAGGGGGGGACGGGGACACAACAGCCTTGGCTGGCATGTCTTTGTCTTTGCTGTTATCCGCGGACACTACAGAGGCCTCTTGACAACTTGGGCTATTGGCTGCATCTGATGGCTGGGCTTCACCATCCATTGTTTCCTCATTATGTTTCGCAACGGTAGTATCCTTTGCCTCTAGGCCAACTCCTACAACGCTAACTGTCACGGACTCCTCACCCTTATCAGAGTTAATAACGGTTGCCTCGTCAACGTTGATTTGTCCCCTCGAGCTATTGTTGCTACCAACTGATCTTCCAGTTAGAGTGCTTCCTGAGAACTGTCGCAGTAACCGACTCCAAACGTTAATTTTACTATGTGATGCAGGCGAGGCGGTTTTCGGTTCCAATGCTGCTGGTGCTACTGTTTGATGTAACTGAAGCTGAGTGCTAATATTGGCGTTGCTGTTGCTGTTGGTGCTAATGCTGGTGCTACTAGTGTGTACAGGAGCCGATTCCTGTTTTCGACGATATCTGCTTCTCTGTGCAGTGCCCCTTAATCTAGAAGTCGGACTGACGATTCTCCTTGGGGAGGCAGTTTTATTAGAAGCACACTGTCCCGGTTTTTGGATTTTAGCTTCTTGCACAGTTTGTTCCTCACCAGAAATATCTGAGTTATTTCTGCAAAGTAAAAAAAACTCAATGAATATGTATAAATTTGCAAAAATTTTAGTCTAACCGTACGCTATTTAACTATTAATAATCAACTATGCACTTGATTAGAATGGCAATATTTGGAGCCTACCTTTGAGGTTGCGTGGTACTGGAAGTAGTACCATCTTCGCTGATGGTGCTTTCCTTCCGAATACTGTTTGTGGGTACGACCTCTCTATGTCGTACAAAGTCGCAAAGGGTTTGTCCAATTTTGCAATATTTTCAACAACCTATGGTCACATGGAATCTGCAGAAGAAAACACAAAACTTTTATGTACATTGAATTGTATTGGAGAAAATAGATTGATTGTAGCTAATTGATTGTCTGTATCAGAATATAGGAAAAAGCCGATTAATAATCGATTTATATTTCGTTACAGGTTTAATTCCGATGCAAGAGAACATTGTTTATTCTAGTCGTGCAATTTTGTTATGTTATGCATCGAGAGTTTTTTATTACTATTGATATTTCACTGCGCCTGTGCTCTAATAACATACAAGCGTACGTATGTAAACGGTATACAAAGGTATATCTATTTGCATACATACGTATATATCTACATACATATATGCATTTATATAAACACATAGCTCATATCTATGTATTGTTTGTTTGTATGTGGCACTGTCTGAACATATGTACTTTGTGCTGTTTGATTGCAAAACAGCCGTCGGTTTTTTGTTTCTTAGGGTGTATCTTAATTATGAGTCATAAATCCCAATTGCACCAAACTACGCCTACTTCTGCTCACACTGCTTGCTGACTTCTGTTTCTTTTATTTCTTTTTCTTTTCTTTTTTTTATCCGATCGCTCAGTGACACACACGTTTATATATACGTGAGTACTTATTGATGTACTCACCTACACATGCAAATAAATATTTAAGTGCATGAGTACGTGCGTACAAGCATACATACATATATACACACATATGTCAATTGAGTCGTTGCAATAACAAATATCGTTTTACACCAAAATTTTCCTTATTTATCCTGCGACTGGTCACAACATAAAAAATACTTGATTCGCACTGATTATGATGTCATAGACGTGGAAAACCACCAAGCCAGTTGCATAGAAATTATGGATTATACGTCTGCGCCAGGGTCAAAAATTAATTACGCTTGGTAACACTGCCCGATATGTGTCAAATAGTTGAGCGAAACTTATTAAAATCGTAGCACATTCATTAAATTTCACAACAAATTTACAAAATATACCGCCACATATGTAGCCGTCCCCGCACCAACAAATCTGAATTATCGATAATTTTTATTTGTCTTTGTCAATGTGGTTTTCCATTGTAATTAGCTAATATTTTAGCTGCATTGATTGTGGTTGCTTGACTTCAACTCACTATTCACTCTTGCATATTTGCATGGCTTTTATATTATTTTGTTTCTGCAAGACTTTAAAGACTATTTCTTGTTCTATTTGTTACACAAGAGGAGCACTAGTCAGTGGTGAGCGATACAGTGCGATACTGATACTTGTTAAATAAAATATGACGGTGTAACGGATATGATGAATGGGTTGCTTATCGATATTTGTATATTGCGATATTCATTAAAATGAGTTATTTCGCAAATAAATTGCCATTTTGAGTATAAAGAAGCTATCGGTAAAGAAAACCGTTTCAATTTGTATTTGATTTTTATTTATTTTAAAAAGAAAGCAAAATAATAAATAAAATAACAAATTTAAATCATTATAAATATTTAATATAATTATTTTGTCATAATATTGTATTTATAACAATGTGTTCATAATCATTTTAAAATATGTAAGCGTCTAACAATAAATTAGTTGAGGAATCTTTCTCAATAAAATATAAAAAAAAAGGCCTTATCATTTTTATTCAAATCAGAGATTTTTACCTGCATTGCCGTACACTTAAGAAGTGATTAAAATTGTAGGTAGGGCGGCTATTAAATTTATCTCTTTGCTGCTATTTGGCTAAGATGGATTTTTATCTAATCAATTATATTGTTTACTTTTCTACTTATATATTTGCCAGCTTAACATGAAGTGCAAACAATTCAGTGCTTGCGTATTTTAAGCGCCAATGGATCAATGAATACTTTTAAAGCTCTTATATGTAACGTATTTTTGAATGTAAGTTAAAGATCATATGCAAATACAAACAGAGATAAATGTATTAGAAGATAACAATTCGTTTCTTAACTCAATTCGCAATATTAATATTAAGACGCTTTTCTCTTTACTCCGCCCCATGTGCTTAAATGTGTGGGCAGGTACGTAGTTTACTTTTGAAAGATTAATTACCTGCCTTGGCGCATAGTAAGAAGAAAAGTACATATTTGCAAAACGTTCATTCTTATCTGAATATGATTTTGTGTGAACAGTAATCTGCGGTCATCTAAGAGATTCAGTTAGAAATTGCGATATTACGTGCGAGCAACCCCCAAATTCGACGGCAAATTGTCTACAAAATAATTTAATTATTGATTAATGCAGTTAAAGTTAAAATAAATGTCAAGTAAATGTGTAAAGCTTCATATATAAATATTCGGATGTGAATATGTCTTATGCAGGAGCTGAATTTGCTCTGAGCCTTAAAAGCAGTGTCATATGGATATACTTTTGACTTAGGCAGCTTCTTTT